ATTCTGACCGTGGTCAGTTCTTCTATCTGGAGTGAACCTATCCGCTGACTGGTACCCTCTATTGTCACGTCCTTCGGACCTTATTTGATGCTGGGAACCTGAGCTAATTATCTTCTATCCTTATCTTTGATTCGTAACGGTGATGGACATCCACCCATGTAGTTGCCTGGAACCCGAGAAGGCTTTCTTTCACTTTTTAAGAGGCATTGGAACTCCTCGAGTTTAACCCTTTAGTTAATTCCTCAGCCGCCCATTTATCTGGCGGATGGTAGCATCATCCTTTCTTTTTGAAACCTGATCACGAACTTACGCAGCAACTCGGACTCTTCTTGCGAAATTCTGAATATGTCCGCCTTTCGGACCTGGACCTTTCTGGGCCCGGCATGGGCCTTGATGAAAGAGTCTGCGAGCATCTCAAAGGAATCTATTGAGTGTTCGGATAAGAGTGAGTACCATGTCAGGGCCCTCTTCGTGAGGGTTTCTTTGAACTTCTTCAGCAGGACCGACTCAATCTCATGTTAAGGCAAGTCGTTTCCTTTCACTGTCATTGTATAGGTGGTGATATGCTCCTGATGGTCTGAAGTCCCATCATATTTCGGTACGTCTGGCATTTTGAACCACTTTGGACTTAATTCTGGTGCCGCGCTCGATTTGAACGGCAATTGGGTGTACTTCTTTGAGTTCTATCCCTTCATCACTGGTGGTGCACCTGGAATTTAGTCTATTCGAGCGTGGAATTCTTTCGCATTCTGGTCCATCCGCTCGTTCATTTCCCTCTTGAACCGCATAAGCTCGATTTTGAAGGGATCATTGCTGTTATCGTTACCAGACCCGGTGCCGATCCCCCCGGCCCCATCGAAGCCGACCTCACCCTTCGAGGTGTTGTTATCAACCCTTTACGCTGTTTGATTTGAGGGAGCACCGGGAGGAACATGGCCTCTTCCATTTTCGTTGTTGGAAGCACCTGACAACGCTTGACTTAGTTCCGTCATGACCTGGTCTTGCCTTGAGAGATGGCCCATGATGGCCTTTTGTTGTTCTCTCAAGATCCTCACCGTTTCCATAACGTGCTCGTCCTCAGCATCGTCAAGAGTCGCCTCCCGTACATGTCGGGGATAAAGCTTGCCATGGACTGACGTTGCTACGTCTGCCTCGTTGCGAGTGTCACTGATCGAATCCTTGGTGTTGAGGCAGATTTTCTTGTGCCTCAACATTGTGTGCGACGTTGACATCATTAGCTGCCTTTTTTTTTTTTATAATTTTTCCTAAGAAACAAAGAGTCAGACATGTTAGTAATATGTAATGACCCATATTTAAGTTAGGGTATGTTGGTCTTTTAACATAACAAAAAAAAAGAATAAGAAAAGAAAGAAACAAAAACCAAAAAAGAAAAAGGAAAACCTAATCAATTAATAATAGGGTCAAAATCTCATTGAACGAAAATGGGGGGAGGGGGGATTTGAGGGAAGGGAAAGCAACTTTAATTGCCCAAACAAAAACCTACTCTTCTTTTTTTTTTTTCCAACAAACTATAATTGCATTTCATTGTGCACTAAAAATTAGAATACACATTCTTGAAATATGAAAACCAACTTTAATTCCTAAACTAAAAATGATTAAAATTTGATGGGTGGAACTGCTCTTAGTTTAGCGGCAAGATGTTACAAATTACATAGTATGAGGGTCACCGTGATTTTTACTTCTAAACTGGAGTAAGAAGCACGTATTCTCAATCAAACACTTACGACTTCTGAGAACAATAATAACTCAATTATAGCCCATTTGTTAAGCTTCTAAAATCAGCTTATTTTGAAAAGAATTTTTGAAAAAGTACTTTGAAGAAAAAAATAACTTGTATTTAGCTAATCAATTTATAAAGAATTTTTAAACAGCAATTTACGTTTGACCAAGTTTTAAAAAAAATATTTTAAACGTCAAATTACAAATAAGGACAGAAAAATATTTATTTATTGATTAATAGTATTATTTAAGTAGATACATAATTTTACATCTTTATTATGAAATATTATAATTAAGTTTTTTTATTAAGTAAAATAAAAAAAAAGATAAAAATTTATTTATTCTATTATTCAACAAATACGAAAATATTCATCACAAAAGTCATCAACAACAACAAACCGGGTGATTCCCAAAAGTAATTATATATTAGAAATCTATCCTAAAAAAAACTTATATATTAAGAGAATTGCGTTTAGAATAACTAAATATTAGTTTAAATTGAGTAAGATTATTTTGGTATATAAAACTTTTGCTAAGAGATAAATTAAAAATATTTTTTGTTTCCAGGACAAGCTATTTTTTTCATCATATAAAAAATAGCTTATGCTTGATAAATGGCCAAAAGTTCATGATTTCGAGTGTATTTTCATCTCATTTATCGTGTGAGTTGCGGGAGATTACATGATCTTTAAAGTGAATTATACTCATTACGTATTTCTTATTTGTAGGAGTGAGCTTGAATGATAATGGATAAAAAGATATCAAATTATTGCAAAAAGGAGAAAAGTGGAAGGATTGGGAGCTCGTCTATTCTCGTGTGTGGCACGAAAATGGACGCGAAAAAGGAGAAAATTGAAGGCACAAAACAACGAAGTGAAGCAAAGGCACGGATCGCTTCGCGAAATGGAAGAATTTCAAAAGCTGAATCCGCGTCCATGGGTGCGCGACGCGCGAAGGTAGATGCGGATTCCAGCTTTTCCCATCTGAAGTTGGATTGAAATGTTTCGCCCCTTATCAACCCTAAATGATATAAATACATAAAAGAACGATTTTTTAAGGGGGAGACAACATCTTTGAAGGCTCTACAAGCAAGGAGAAAGGCAGAAGATTCATAAACGAGTTTTTATCTTTCTTCTTCCTTTTTATATTATTGGTGATGAATTCTTATATTGTAGTTGTGCAAACAATTATGAGTAGCTAAACTCTTTATTCTAGGGTTTGATGGAACCTCTTGGAGGATGAATTTTTGTTGCGTTTAATATAAGTTTTCCATTAAATTTTCTCTACTTGTTCAACTACGTGATTATTGTGGTTGATTGAAGGGCCCTTAGTTGACTATGCCTATTTAGTGTGCATTACTTGGAAAATGATACATATTTAGGTAGTTGTTGAACAATATCACTCATAACATATATGAGGGATCAATACAGAGGGTTTACAGGTGGGATTAGGAATAACGAAACCTTGGTGTGAACTTAGTGAGCGGTGAACTAAAGTCAACTAGCATAGTTTGGAAGAATACGTCTAGCATATTGTTGTAGTTGCTCGGAAGAGAATTACGACACCTAAAGTGCTCACAACCGGTAGAGAATATCTAGGCGAATTTATAAGAAACGTAGCGGAGTGGATTCCGATAAGAGGGGAAGTCGTAACACTATACCTTTCCGATCTTGTCTACAACATTTGCTTTGTTAGTAATAAAATTACAACTTTTTAATTACCTTGCTTTTAGTTAACAAACACTCAACTCGTTATTCAATATTTATAGAAGTTGATTACTTGAATTCTGGCGGAACTAACAGTTGTGATTAGTAGGTTAATTCTTTGTGAGATTCAACTCCGAACTTGTAAACTGAATTATATTTACAACAATCACTTAAACCTTTTTATAAGGCATAGTTGGACGTGATTAACACTTCTACCCAAAAGTGTTTTCTTCCTCCTAAAACGTTGGCAACCACGTCAATTTAGAAATGAAAGCACTCTTTTTGAAAAAATACTTTTGGCATTTGGAGGACCTTAGCCAAAAAGGCTATCATTATCCACGAAATCCAGAGATGACACCTATCTTTTCACCGTAATGTCGAGTAAACAAATCATCTTTTGTGCAAAATCAGGATTTTCGCGTTTTTGCCATATGCATTAGTACATTACATGAAATGATCTATCAATTAAATTCTAGATAATATTAAATATCAAATGTTTGCAAGTGTGTATTAATCATATGTACTGAATTCAGTGTGAAACAGATTACTTCATTTTCTTAGATTAAAATCCTAGTACTGACATATTATAGAAAAGTATTATAAGTTAACAATTTTTATCAAGAAATAGCAAAAGAAGTAATTTTTCTCACGAAATAGCAAAAGATTATATTTTTAAACGTTAGTTAAATGTAACTTAATTTGACTATGGAGAAGAGAAATTCGCATAGATGGTGTCCATTTTAAAATAAGGAACTTCATTCCTCTTTAATTTTGTGCATTCAGATGGTTCATACTTTTTTGGTCTCACGAGCAAAGCAAATGGAAGTAGAAGGAGACATAACGATAACCTTGTTCACATTAAGATTATAGGTTTAAGAAAATCTAACCATTTCTTAACTTGACTTCTCATATATAATCACATGACTCTCAAATAAGGCCCAATCTAATCTCACTTGTAGATATGAAAAAGAAGACACCGAACCACAAAAGAGAGCATAATAAATTCGGGGTGCAACTCACTTATTTCATGATTTTGGAACAACAACAATAATAACAGCAAGTAGATAAAACATAAAGGAGTAATATGTAAATAAAAGAAGAGAACGCAAATGATAGGGCCGGGGTAGAAAAGACGTACTCCCTCCGTCTCATATTATATGTGTCGTGTTTCTTTTTTACACGTCTCTTAAAAAATATTAGTTAGGAAAGGGATTGGACTATTCTACTCTTATTTATGTCTTAAGATATAATCTCTTTTCATTAAATATTTGTTCTATTTATGTATTATCTCCCTCTTCAAGAACAATTATTACTAAGGGTAAAAAAAGAAAAAAATAATTAATTTTGTCTTTAATTTCTAAAATGATAAATAATTTGAGACTACTATTTTTAGTAACCACGACGGTTAATATGAGACTGTGGAAATAATAATAAAAGATATTCATAAGCAAAGCATGTGTTAAACACAACAGAACTAGTGCTAAAAGCACTCATCGTTTGATTTCAAACTCGAATTTTTCATTTCATGATGATTTTTAAAGAAGAAAAATAAAATTAGTGCAGAAGACGTTTAGATACGACGGCTATCATTTCGCCATAACGCCGAGCAAACAGATTATCTTGTGATAAAACTGGCGATTGAACTGGAGGTGGTTCATTTAACAATTCATCGCATTCAACAGCATAATTAATGATACTCTTTCCTTGTAGATTAACATCTACATGATTTCCAGCTTTTGAATTATTCTTTGCTTGGCTCAAGGAGTCAATTATTCCCTCATAAAAACTGCCACATTGGGTATAGCTACTCTTGGAACGAAAGTCCTTAGCTCCTGAGATGAGAGAACGGATCTCTGCACTGGTGTTTTTTGCGCTCTTTGTTCCTAAATCGATGGCAATGATTTCAAGTTCAGCAAAATCAGCAGTTCTAGAACGTGGATCCGATTGAAAAGCCTTTGTGCAAAAAGTTGGATCTTGGGTAAAACTACAGACGCCTGTGATTGGGTCTGCTCCTAATGAAATCACATTCAAAAGGAAAACTAGAAAAAAGAGATGGAAATTAGAGCCAGAGATGAAAACCATTTTTATGAAGAAAAGAACGTACAACTCTTCTTTCTTTTTCTTCTTATTGCACGAATAAATGGATGATTCATGGCTCCAGCCTCCATTCCCTTCATATATATATACTTGCTCAAGTATTAGTACTGTGGTAAGTTCATTAATAAAAATTACAAAAATATTTATTACAGTCAGATTTGTTCTCCTCTTTTTAGTAAAAATCTAATTATCCCTCCCAAATGAAAGATCTCTATTAATCCTTTTACTCTTCTTTTTAGTATATAAGTTATTAAATGAATGAATAAATAGAATGAATTTTATTGTAATTAGTAAGTTCATCAATAGAATTACAAAGATATTATTAAAAGTATATTTATTCCACTCTTTTGAGCAAAGAATGGAATTATCCTCTCAAATGAGATAGATCTCCACAATTTTTAGGTGTTGCATTTCAAAATGATTAACTACACTACCTGCCCTAAGGGTATTTGGTCTCCTCTGAATATTACCGCCCCGTAAGTATCTTTTCGTCGAGCATTTGTTTTGCCCGTTTTTCCGTCCCTTCTTCGTGCAGCTGAGACTTCGCTCCCTCCCTTGATCGTGCACATTTATGATCGGGTCTGCCAGGTCTTGCCTTACACAGTGGGGATTCGTGAATGGCCGGCCTTTATCAAGAAATTCGGGCCTGTGCCTTCCGTGACCGGTGAGTTCGTCTATATGTATTTATTTACACATAATTATTATCCTTTGTCTATACCGTTTTGACCTCATGGGCGCCTGCTCGTTACGATTTTGTACAGGAAGTGACAGTCTTCTAATTTTTCTTTTTCAGCCCGAGGATCTTCGAGAAGGCCGAAGTCTCCTGCTCCGGCGTTTGTAAGATGAAGGCTGCATCTGTTCCTTCTGTTGTGGTGAGGTCTGCTCGGTCGTCGACTACACCTGCCACAGGATTTTTGACTTCCCCTTTGCATCATCTAGTAGATGAGGACGATGAGGAGGAATTGTCGTCGAATGGTGATAATTTACTTCCTCGTAAGAGGCGATTTGTGGATGTCGGCGAAGGAGCTGTCCGGGCGGCGAGTTTGGCGATGGGGGATTTCGTCGTCCGAGAAACGGCGACCATAGAACTTGAAGACGGCACTGAATTGCTGCCCACGATTCCGCCGTCATCGGGAGCCGAGGAGGGTACGTCTTTCCCTGAGATCATGATGGATTTTGAGGGGCCGTCGACGAGAGTCCCTGACGACTTACGACGGAATGAGCCATCGGCCTCGCTACCAACCGAGGATCCTTCTTCCAGGGTCGACACAAGAGGAAAAAGTGTAGCCGAAGAAGGTTACGAAACGGGCTCCGATATGGATGCCGAGGAAGTGAGGATCATGGGGGAAGCACTTACTCGACTTGAGGTGAGATTGGAGGGGACCACGCAGACTATTGCGATCCCCTTGGACCGGGATTTGCTAGTTGACACGGAGGATGTGGTCCCTTCTCTTGGTCCCCTCTGTTCTGAAGTGGAGGATTAAACCCTTGAGAAGCTTAAGGATGCCATTTTATCGAGGAGCATAGCCGACCTCGCTCTTAGGGTAAGATTTTCGATCTCTCCGTTTTTTATGTCGAGTTCAAAGTTTTGTTCTTACTCGTTTTCTGTCTTTCTTTCAGACCGTGATTTTGGAGATCGAGAGCGCCCGACGAGAGGAGAGGTATAAGGCCATTTTCCAGAAGATAGAGCGAAAATATCGCGAATATCGTGATAAGCACCGCGAGATCTACAGGCGGTTCGGTTGGAGCGGCAATTTCCAGGCTCTCCGAGGTGAACTGAAGGAGAAAGATGACGAGTTGATGAGGGTCATCGGAAAATGCAGCGTTCTAGAGGGGGCGTTGAGGGACAAAGAAGAAGAACTTGAGGTGAGCAAGGGGGTCGAGGCCCAATGAGCCGATCTTCAGGCCCAGGTGGTTTCGTTGAGCGCCGAGCTCGAGAAGTGTCAACTAAAAGTGGACGCTCTAAGTGGCAAGGTCGCTGAGAAGTCAACGTGTTTAAAGAAGGAGGAGTTGGCCCAGTTGTCGGCTGCCAGGAAGGCGGAGGCTTTGGAGATCATGATCCGCATTCTTTATTCTGATCGGGAGAGTGCTTTGGAGACGGTCAGGCTCAGAGATGAGCGGCTTGATAAGCGGATATGGGAACTGAAAAAGGAGGCTTCGGACCTTAGTGATTGAGTTGCTGCCCTCGAGGTCAAGAAGGCGCAGTTATTGGCTCAGTCGTCCTCTTCCCGTGCTTCTGCTTTTCCTCATGTTCCGCGGGACTTGTACGAGGAATGGATTCACGTCGAGGCCCAACTGGATATATTCACAGATCTGATGGGGGCGAGGGCAACTTACCAAAGGCTGGTGACGAAAATGTTCAAAGAACAACTCGGAAAAATAATGAAAGTCTACATCGACGACATGCTGGTCAAATCCAAAAGGAAAGAAGATCACATCGACCACTTGAGAGAAGCCTTCAGCATACTTAGACAATACGGCATGAAACTGAACCCCGAAAAGTGTGATTTCGGCGTGGCCTCAGGAAAGTTCTTGGGTTTCCTAGTGTCGCAATGAGGTATCGAGGTCAATCCCGACCAAATCAAGGCCACCGAAAGGATACCAAAGCACTTGACCACCAAAAGGCAGGTCCAGAGGCTGACTGGCCGTATCGCCGCCCTTTCGAGGTTCATCTCACGATCCTCCGATAGGTGCCACAAGTTCTTCGGCGTACTCAAAAAGGAGAACGACCTCCAATGGACCCCTAAGTGCATCCAAGCCCTGGAAGGAGTTAAAGGTGTACTTGTCCTCGCCACCGTTGCTCTCAAAACTAGAACCGGGACAACCACTCCTTGTCTATCTCGCCATGTCTGAAGTAGCTGTGAGCACAGTCTTAGTCCAAGAAAATAAAGGTACGCAATCTCCCATCTTGAAAGACACTAGTCGACGCCGAGACCAGATACCCCCATCTTGAAAAACTAGCTCTGGCCTTAGTTAGCTTCACGAAAGCTTAGACCGTATTTCCAATGCCACCCCATCTTGGTCATCACGACTTTTCCCTTAAGAAATATTTTACATAAACCCGAATTGTCGGGCAGATTAGCCAAATGGGCCATCGAACTAAGCGAGCATTCGGCCACGAACGACGATAAAGTCAGAGATCCTCGCCGACTTCAGTGCGCAAATAATGCCCGAAGTCGAAAAGGAAGTTGTCCACTCTTCTTCCTGAACACAAGACCTATAGGTCCTGTACACCGACGGCGCATCTAACGCATCAGGGTCTGGTCTGGGCTGGGACTCGTACTCGAAGTCCCAACAGGCGAAGTGATTCTCCAGTCCATAAGGTGCCCGGACATGACTAATAATGAGGCCGAGTATGAGACCGTAATTGCAGGATTGAGACTAGCACTCAAATACGGGGCAAACCGGCTAATGTTGCGCTGTGATTCTCAGCTCGTGGTCAACCAAGTCACAAGGACTTTCCAAATCAAGGAGCAAAGATTACAAAAATACCAGACCGAAATCTGCAAACTACTACCCGAGTTCGACGAAAGTCAACTCGACCAGATTCCCCGAGCACAGAACATCGAGGCGGACGGCCTCGCCAAATTAGCAGCAACCACCAAAAACATTACAAATGAAAATCGAAGTGTGGTCCACCTCCTCAACTCGGCGATAGACCATATCAAGATAAGAACCATAAACTTGACTTGGGATTGGCGCAACGGTATTATTGCATATTTACAGGACGATGTACTCCCCAACGATAACAAAGAGGCCAAGAAGTTGCGAATGCAAGCGGCCAGATACAACATCGTTCACAATGACCTGTACAAAAGGACATATGGCGGCCCTCTAGCGAAATGCTTAGGCCAAAATCAGACGCGACACGTCCTTGAAGACGTACACGAAGGCCACTGTGGAGCTCACTCCAGCAATCGAGCTTTGGTCAGATGCCTCATACGAGCGGGGTATTACTGGCCCACCATGAAAAAAGAGGCCGTAGATTTCGTGAAAAAATGTGAACAATGCCAGAAGTACACCCCAGTGATCCACCAAGCAGGCGAACACCTACACTCAGTAACTTCCCCTTGGCCGTTCATCAAATGGGGAATGGACATCGTGCCCCCCTCCCGGCAGGATGAGGTAACGTACGATTTCTCTTGATTTTAACTGACTATTTTTTTAAATGGGTGGAAGCAGGAGCAATCGCCCAAATACGCGAACATGAAGTGATAGCCTTCATATGGAAAATATCATATGCTGTTTCGGTCTCCCTAAAGAGATCAGCTGCGACAACGAACCTCAATTTACAGGAAAGAAGATCGCCAACTTTTTCGAAAAATGGCACATCAAAAGAATACTCTCAACGCCTTATTACCCCGCGGGCAACGGGCAAGCGGAATCATCCAACAAGTCAATTATGAACATCATGAAGAAGAAACTCAAAGACGCCAAGGGGCTGTGGCCGAAAATATTACCAAAAGTACTTTGGGCCTATCAAACAACGCCAAAAACGAGCACAGAGGAAACGCCATACTCGTTAGTCTATGGGACTGATACAGTAATACCAGTCGAGGTCGGGGAGCCCAGCCTAAGATACTTCCGTGAAAGCGGACCCCAGAACGATGACAGTAGAAGGCAGGAGCTCGACGAAGTTCGGGAATGAAGAGATATGGCCTACGCGATAATGGTCGTCCAGAAGCAACAAGTGAAGGGCAAAGATCATGCCACTCAAAGTTTGGGACTACGTGCTTAAAGCTAAAACACAAGCAAGCAAAGACCCACGGGAAGGCAAACTAGGAACAAACTGGGACTGCCCCTACAAAATCACGACAGCAGTAAACAAAGGGTCATTCACAATAGAAATAATGGAAGGAAAGCGACTATCAAACAACTGGAATATTACACACCTCAAGTACTTCAACTTTTAAAGGATGAGGTCCCCAAAATTGCATTCTTTTTCCCTCACTCGAGTTTTGTCCCAATTGGATTTTCTCGAGGAG